AGCCGTTGATCCAATTAGGAGCGATGCTAAGATTGAGTATAATGAGAGGAGCACATCAACTCAACTATCCAACTATTGTACTTTCTAGTTAACGTTCATGAGCTGCCTAAAGGCCCTATGGTTACTCTGCTACTTACAATGATTTCACGTTGCCTTTATGGAAAATATGAAAGAAACATATAAAGGTCGTGAATGAGATTCTGGCATGAGCATATTATGCTGATTGATCTGCTTGAGAATTCATAAAAGCAATAGAAAAGCATCATTTGTCAAGGAGAAATAATTACTTTTGACTGGTAAAATATGCAGTTTGGTTCCTCGGTAGTTTGACAGGGATCCTCCACACATTAACAAATATAAAGTGATGTCTCATTGAAATGTCTTTTCAAGAGTTGACAGAGGAAGTAAAATTATTTATCAAATATGTCCACTTCTTGCTAGGAAAAAAAAGGAGAGCCTTTTATAGCTCTTAGTCTCATAAGGCTTTACCATTTGCTAAACTAAGAGTATGTTGAGCAGAGATTTCTGAGTAGTCGTGTTATGCCATGACCTCTTCTCACCCAGAATATACCTGCTAGTTCACATGTTTTTTAAGCTGATTTTTTGGTGGGGAGATGAAATACTTAATCACAGTCTGTGTATCTTCCAGAAGACATGAACAATCATGACTCAAGAACCGAACCTCCAAATCTATCTAAAAACATAGTTTATAGCCCTATTGACTTACAATGCTTAATTCCATTTTACCAATTTCTTTCCAGTGAGACTAATTCTAAGCCTTGCTAAACATATCAACCATTGTTTTGTGGGGATGCTGTGGTAGGAGCTTGGCTATCTGGCTAATATGCCCCTTTGGTTCAGAATTCCTGTTACATATGGAATTTCTCCCTGTTGCATAGAGATCATCTGTCCTCCAAATTTAGATGCATATATTTCAATAATGGCTTTCCGGGAGTTTATCCATTGTTTGTTCCATAGCAAAGATAGTAAAGTCTTATTTTTATATGGTTTAGTTATAATGCATGAGTAGAAAAAAATTGCCATTCAATGTATCCTGTGTTATCTTTTTGGTTTCCAACTCCTATACTGCTGGGTTGTACTCTGCAAAGTTTTAAAGGGATGTGAACATTCCAGAAGGCCAATCTAAAGCATCTAGCTGCGATAAACTATCAAATTTCCATTCTGTGTTTCTTTCCTAAGGACAACTGTTTGGAACCACTTTATTCTCTGTTAGTAAAGGCATTAAATGTTATTGGACTCAGCAGCAGAAGGAGGTTTTCTGCAATGTCCAGTAGTTGCGGGCACTTCGGGCTGTGCATACAGCATGGTGGACGTAACAAAGCACTTCTCTTGATGGTGTTTGGGCTGTGCACAGCTATGTGATGCCATCTGGTTTTTAGGCACCAATGGCATACCACTTAAGAATTTATCTAGTAGCAAAAAAAAAATAAAAAAAAAAATACACACACACACACAAAAACCCCAAAACTGGAATAAAATGGTCTCCAAGTAAAATGACACTGATTTTAAACCCATCTTGACACTTTTTACCCAAAAGGAAGCTATTCTCATAATTATGCAATAATACATTTTAACTCAAATTTTATAAAATTATATGGATGTCTGGATATTGCTTATTGGCTAAACCATTAGCCACTGTGGATGCAAGAATGCTGTATTCTTTTTGTAAGTCAATTTGTATTATTAATATCAAAATCGCAGATTGTCCTGCCTCTTAAATTGAGTACAGAGGGAACGCTCAGTAGGGAAACAGTCTGACATATTCAGGACATTCTTAAGCCACTAAAGTGAATTTTCTGCCTATAAGAGAAATTTTATGGGATAAGGTTATGTTAACCCCAGAAGGTTGTTAGTGGATAATTTGGCTTCATGATATGTAGCATGACTTGGAGACATTGACTGGAAGCTGTGATTCATAGACTGAGGTTCTTCCTTTTATTTAGTATGCTGTAAAGGAGTGAGAACATGATAGGTTATTCGGTGTAAGTCAATACATATGAGACAAGATTAAGAAGCATCTATCAGTATTCTTGTGTGGAACAATTTGTTCAACAAATATTTTACCAGTGAATACTATGTGCCCTGCACTGAATTAGGCAGAAGATGATGAATAAGTTCTTTAAGAAGCTGATAGTTGGCCGGGCGTGGTGGCTCACGCCTATAATCCCAGCACTTTGGGAGGCCGAGGCGGGTGGGTGGATCACGAGATCAAGAGATCGAGACCATCCTGATCAACATGATGAAACCCCATCTGTACTAAAAATACAAAAATTAGCTGGGCATGGTGGCGCAGCCTGTAATCCCAGCTGCTCAGGAGGCTGAGGGAGGAGAATTGCCTGAACCCAGGAGGCGGAGGTTGCAGTGAGCCCAGATCATACCCTTGTACCCCAGCCTGGGTAACAAGAGCGAAACTCCGCCTCAAAAAAAACAAAACAAAACAAAACAAAACAAAAAGAAGCTGATAATCTATAGAGAATGAGAGTAAACCTTTCAATGGCTGCAATTAGTCCCGCCGTAGAAGGGAACTGATGAAAGCGTTTATCCTGCTAATGCAAGGATTCGACACTTCTCTTTCTTGGTGGCTTTGAAACATGGTGGCTGATTCTTTGACCTCTTACCCTTGAACTTGGAGTTAAGCCCTTCTCCTTGAACCTGGAGGTGCTGTGACTGCTTCAATCCACAGAATGAGGGGGAAGCCCGAGGCCTCTCTGAAGGCCAGGCAGCACTGCCCTATTTGCTGCAGCACTCACTCCTGGAGCATTAGGCCCCTTGCAAGGGTCCAGCCTCCAGAGGCTGTGAGTGTGCACCCCTGGCAATGGTCCTGTGAGATCAGCCTTTCCTTTTTATCATCTGAACCCCTAGACACTAATGGGCAGAGACTGACCCACCCTGCTGTGCTTTGCCCAAATTCCTGACCTACGCTGTGGTTAACTGTGTAGCAGCAGATCACGAAAATATAGGAGGCGATAGCTCAGGATCAACTGGAGGTGACCATGAGGAGGGTGGGGCGGGGCTCTGGGCAGGAGCAGCCTCAGCCAAGCTGGCGGTGAGAGTGCCTCTATGCACATGTGTCTGTATGCCAACAGAGATTTGCGTTTCTTGCTCTGGACTGGATTATGACATCAGAGGATAATATCTGAAAACGGAGATTGAACAGCAAGGATCAATGAGCGTGTGAGCGCATGCGAGCAGCAGACATCAGCCTCTCCTGCCAAGCTGTACCACCCTCTTTCTCCCCTTTGCTAACAGATTTTCCTTGGCCTTTTCCTATCTTTGGAAGGGGAGGCGCCCAGGAAACATGTTTTATGTGAATATAATTATGCTACTGAACAGTTTCCACTAAAAGGAAGGTTATGAGTAGAAGGAAGCAAAACTCAGAGAAAACGTAAAGTGAATCAGTATCAAGAGACTGAACCCTCTATAACTGGAGGAAGAGCCATAGGGAAACTGATTTCTCAGAAAACTGACGTGTCTTCATGCATTGTGAAGTCCCAACTGACTGTGGCTTGGCAGTCCAAAGCCATTTCAATCAGCAGCTCTTCTGTGGTGCCTGCAAGTATACTCATTCTTTTAACACTTTTAGACAACATAGCTGAAAATAGCAAATCAAGGCCACATGCGTGCTTGTGCCCCAAGCATCTATGCAAGGCACACAAAGTCAGAGAAATAAGAGGCTGCATCTTCCTCTCCCTTTTATCCTAGAAAACGTTCGCCACAAAAGGAAACACACTTTTGATTTATACAAGCCTCCTTTTCACGATGCGTGTCTATAATGTAAATATTTTATTTAACCTATGTGCTGTAGACCCCTAAGTGTTTGTGACATCCGAAATTCATGTGTTGCAGTCCTAACTTCCAATGTGATGGTATTTAGTGGTGGGGCCTCTGGGAAATGATTAGGTATTGAGGATGGAGGTTTCATTAGGCCATAAAGGTAGAACCCTTATGAATGGGGCTACTGTTCCTATGAAATAGGCCCCAGAGGCCAGGCGAAGTGGCTCATGCCTGTAATCCCAGCACTTTGCAAGGCCCAGGTGGGTGGATCACCTGAGGTCAGGAGCGTGAGGACAGCCTGGCCAACATGGTGAGACCCTGTCTCTACTAAAAATAGAAAAATTAGCTGGGGGTGGTGGCGCACACCTGAAATCCCAGGTACTCAGGAGGCTGAAGCAGGAGAATTGTTTGAACCCGCGAGGCAGAGATTGCAGTGAGCCGAGATCGCGCCACTGCACTCCAGCCTGGATGACAAGAGTGAAACTCTGTTTCAAAAAAAGAAAAGAAAAAAGAGAGGTCCTAGAGAAGTCCCTCGGCTATTCCATTATTTGAAGACTCTGTGAGAAGACGTTGTTTATAAGCGACTCAGCATATGGTAGTTTATTACAGCAGCCCAAACTGACTGAGACATTCCCCACACATGAGTTGTGAAGGTTTCTCAGTGTAGGATGAACAGGCATGTGCATGGTCTCCTGGAACAGTGTTTCTTGACCTGTGGTTCTCAGACTCATGGGAGTTTACATGTGTATTTTTGGGTGTCTGAGAATTTTCTTTGAGAAAATGTACATTATTTCATTTTGGTGGCATTTTCAAGTATCTACATTAGTGTCCCTCAAACTTTACTGTGCATGCAAATCACTGGGTTACAGATCCTGTTCAGAATCATCAGATCCTAGGAGGGCCTGAGGCTCTGCATTTCTTTTTTCTTATTTATTTATTTATTTATTTATTTATTTTTAAGGCAGAGTTTCACTATATTGCCCAGGCTGGAGTACTGTGGCGTGATCTCAGCTCACCATAACCTCTTCCTCCTGTGTTCAAGCAATCCTCCTGCCTCAGCCTCCTTAATAGCTGGGATTACAGGCCTGGCCGCCACACTTAGCTAATTTTTTTTTATTTTTAGTAGAGATGGCGTTTCCCCATGTTGGCCAGGCTGGTCTTGAACTAGTGACCTCAGGTCATCCGCCCGCCTCGGCCTCCTAAAGTGTTGGGATTACAGGCGTGAGCCACCCCAGGCTGAGGCTCTGCATTTCTAACAAGCTCTCTGGTGACAAAAGTGTGAGTGTGGGAACAGTGCTTTGAAAAGCCAGGCTCAAGATGCCCCTTACAGCCGGTAACTGCCAAGTGACATCCCTGCCTGCCTGTGTTTGTGTGTGCTTATATTTGATCTAAGTTGTGCTGCTTTCATTGTCACAGATGAAAAGGAATGAAGACAGCCAACTATTGTTTGGCAGCCTCCTGGTTAACAAGAACGTGCACCATTGTCAGAGCAGAATCCATGAGATAGAATTGATGGGCACACGTACTTGGTGGAGCAGAATTGGGAGCTCTGTGCCATCAGCACTCTCCGTCCCTACTCGCCCTTCATTTCTGCTGTCTGGGCCTGACTTCTCTGGGCACAGACTTTCTCCAGGTCCAGCGGCAGCTCTGTCCCCTCCCCTCTGCCCCCTGCATCACTGCACTGTGCTGTTTCCATAGGCCTGTTTGATTCATTTCCTCACCCTTGCTATCAGGCATTCCTGACATCTGGGACTTTGTGACAGGCTGTTTGGATTAGATGGCAATTCCCTGTCAGCCACCCTGGAAACTCACATAGGTGCCCACAGGGACTTCGCCTCACTATCAGATCATGATACATGTGACCTTCCCTTGCACATAGCCTTGGCCTAGAAGACACTTGGAAACTGGGTGATGAGGTGAGTAGGGGAGGAGGGCCTGTTTTAATCACATAGAGCTTATGTACTGATGGGAAGCTATCAACCTATAAACATAAAGTATGAATATCTACCCAGAGTCTCACTACAGTATTATCTTTTCTACTCTACCCCTTTTTATTAGTGGCTATTTATTTTAACATGTGTCTTTGTTTATGAGTATAAATGGACATAGTGTTTCACAATCTGTGAGAGCCAGGCCGGGGTGATAGCCCCGAAGTAGAAAAAAAGTCAAGATCCAGTGAAAAGTTGTCAGCAACATGAAAGTTCTTCCTAGATTGTCAGTTTTTTAAAACTCAGAACTGTAAATAGCAAAAATCAGTGTGTTCTTTAGAAAGTAAAAGAGCATACTGTTGGAAAGGAAGAATACTTGCAAGGACTGAATCAGAAATAAAATATAGCTTCTGGCAGCAATTGGAATGCCAAAAAGAAGACATAGCAGTTATTTTAAGAATTATCATTATCTTTCATTTAAAAGTGAAATCGTGGGAGGCTGCAGAGCAGAGAAGAACGAGCTGGATTTTGAGGTCTCTCCGACTTGAGCTTGGATCATGGATCTGCTACTTTCCAGTCCTGTCAGTTCGGGCAACATGTGCAGTCTCTTGGAACCTGTATCTTCTTCTGTAATAATAACAATATCTCACTGGAAAAGTTGTGAATAGGAAATAAATAATGAGCGTAACATCCCCCAAGAACACGTCATCCATAGTAACCACTCAACTAGGAAATGACAGCTTAAAAAATGTGTGTGGGGGGGACTGATGAGGATCTTACATAGGTTGAAAATGTGATGTGATTATTCCATGACAGCAAAGAATTAGAGTTCAGAAACATAGCCTGCCACATGGGGCACAGGACAGAGCTTCCCAGTGGGTGCTCTCCAAAGTCCCCGTCATGAAATTCATGGTAGTGAAATTTTTTGTGTGAAGGAATACAAAGTCACACTGGTTTTGTTTACTTATTAATTTATTGGTAAGTATTTCAGGTCTTGAGCTTCTGATCATTTGCTAATATTTATGGCTTTCATCCCTGGCTCTATATTTCTGTTCCTTTTGTGTTTTCCAATACACATCAAGGAATAACTTTCTGTTGTTGTCATTCTGTTTTGTTTTTGAGATGGAGTTTTCCTCTTGCCTCCCAGGCTGAAGTGCAGTGGTGTGATCTTGGCTCATTGCAACCTTCGCCTCCTAGGTTTAAGTGATTCTCCTGCCTCAGCCTCTCCAGTAGCTGGGATTACAGGTGCCTGTGACCCCGCCTGGCTAATTTTTGTATTTTTAGTAGAGACAGGGTTTCACCATGTTGGCCAGAGTTGTTTCGAACTCCTGACCTCAGGTGATCCGCCCGCCTTGGCCTCCCGAAGTGCTGGGATTACAGACATGAGCCACCTCGACTGGCCGGCACCGAAGAATAACTTAATGACATCCAGTTGACTTCATGAAGGGTGCGTGTTTGGTACTGCCTAAATCTGTGTTAAAAATTCAATGAACTGAAACTGGAGAACTGAATGTAAAGTTGGAAAACAAAGGGACCACTTCTTTCTGTGACTGGCTGATTGTATTTTATCTGGCGTTTGACACCTGGTGGCAGCTATGATTTTACTTTCTCCTTCTGATTATTTTTGTGCAGCTTACGTTGATTGAGAATTCTTCCATTCCAAGTGTCATCCCAGGCCCTTGCTGTGTACTGACATGTTGAATTACCACAGCCATCTTATAAGGTAGATAATAATGTTATTCCTGCTTTGGGGATGTGAAAGTAGGCTCAGAGCCATTAAGTGACTTGCCATAGTCACCCTATTGGGTCAGCGTTGGAAGATTGAAACTTGTATTCCCACCATGAGAGGAAGCATGACATTTAGCAGGTTTTAGAGACTTTCACTCATTTGACATATATTAAATGGGCGTGTGGCTGTAAGATATCTTACAGGAAATGAGTTAAAGCATTTTACTTTGTGTACTTGCTTTGCTTTTACTTTAATATGAAAATATTGGAAGTTTGAATCTGGACTTGTGTAAACCCACAGTGATGTATCTTAAGTAGCCAGCTGTTAGGTGTAGAGGGGCCATCTGTGTGGACTGTCTATGTCTACATTTGTTCCTGGGCTAATAAAGAGCATTAAAACCAGAACAAAACAGAAAAGGGAATGTTAAAGAAAAAATTATTCAGGACCATTGTGCTATGTGTCAAGACCATTGGAGTAGGGGAAAGAGATGGGGCTCAACTTTAAATACAGCCAAGGCAGCTGGGGAATTACAGCCAGCGAGCAGAATGAGGGGATCATTGGATGGAAAATATCTTAAGAGGAGACATCGGAGGCTGGGGGGGATTCTTGCTAAAGAGTCCAACTTAGCAGGACTCTTGCTACAACTGGACTAGCAGACCAAAGGCAAGGCACCAAGGGGAGGCCTCATTGAGAAGGGGGGTCAGAGAGGCCTGCATGAGGTTTAGTCAGGGAGGGGGACTTTGTCAGGGCGATACTGGTGAGCCCTGTAGAGAATCAGAGAAACGTGTTCCACACAGAATTGAAAACTTTACACATTGAAATGGCAATAAAGCGAGCCATTTAAGTTGGCTTTGGTATTTTTGATTAATTTTGTGATAAAGTTAAGAAATATTAAGAAAACTGATTTTCAATTTATTCCCTATATAGCTTCTCCTCTTTGGGGGCTACAAAATTTCATTAGCTTTGTTTTCACTCTTACACTACTGAGTCTTCTTACTTTAGTAATCAGATCAGCCTGTACATTTGCAGTAATGGCCTTTGTGGATGGACAGATAGTAATTAATAAGCAACCTACCTAAGGGAATGACAATTGTATAAATATACTTTCAATGTATTTAAAGGGAGAACAAAACCCATTAAATGTTATACTTATGTACATATTTAATTTTAGAAGGAAATAAGTCATTCTGTTACCATAGACTTTCAGAAACTTCTTCATTGGGTGAATTCTATGAAGAGTAAAATTTCACAATAACTTTAAAATGTATCCTGAGGCAGGAGAATTGCTTAAACCGGGGAGGTGGAGGTTGCAATGATCTGAGATAGCGCCCTACTGCCCTCCAGCCTGGTGATAGAGCAAGACTCTGTCTCAAAAAAAAAAAAAAAGAGCATCATGTAGCTAAGAATCGTATTCTGAGGTTTGAAAGTGTATTACGATATTAAATGCATTTTACTTGACATTTCATGTAAACTTTATAAAACAACATAGAATTTGTTTTAAAGATTTTCTACTTCAAATTGTTGTATTTTTATTTTCCTTTGTTTTTGCCGATATCATGATATGAAATGATAAAAAGCCACATTAGTGTTTTAACAAAAATAATCAAGACCCATTCTTTTGCATCCACGATATTCACAGACTTCTAATTTATCTTTTTAAACCTCTTTTGTGAACATACATATCAGAAGGTTTACATGGTTATTTTAAACATCTCCTCAATCAAAAGTTGTTAATATTTTAATCTTCCCAATCATGGATAATTTAGAAAAAGTAACATCGAGCATACTTCTCTGGAAAGCAATAAAGGATAGCCTTTAAAAATGACAGAAAAAATATTTTATTAACTAGTGAGTACCACTGGAGGTTACATTTCTTTTAGTCTTAGGAGGTTCAACATTTTTGCTTTTAAGTGGGGAGAACTGTTCTGATATTATTCTCAAAAAGTAGCAGAAATATAATGCAAACCACACTTTAAACAGTCACTTAAAGTTTTGAATAGTAGAAAATGAAAGAATCTGTTGTTTCAATTACCATTAAACAGTTAGAATTGCAGAATTTTACTTAAATGACTTTCTTCTAAATTAGGCTAAAAACATGCATTTCAAAGTGCTGAAGTTACCCTGACAATTAGTATTTAATGCTCATTTAAAGTTTTATTCTATGTATTAACTATCTTTGTATTATCTCAATTTACATGTCCCTATGATTTTCTGAATCTTAATCCCAGTAGCAATGCTAATGTATAAGCTAGTCTTTCAAGAAAGAAAGAAAGACTACAAATCACTTTTCCATGCATTACACATAAAGATACAGTTCAGTGGCATAATCTTGAGGAATTAGTTGTGAAAATGGATTGCTGCTGCAAATGGTAAATTGTATATGCTTTGTTAAGGAAGGACTTTTCAATGTGAAAGTTTGAAAACATTGTTTCTTAGCAGAATATTAAACTTAATAAATGTGAAAAAAAGTAACTAGCATTGTAAAACTGTAGCAAAGTAATCTGACTTCATTTGACTTCTAAAGAGGAATCCCAGCACAAAAATAAACCTGCAGCCTGGTGTGGTGGCTCACACCTATAATCCCATCACTTTGGGAGGCTGACGCGGGCAGATCATGAGGTCAAGCGATGGAGACCATCCTGGCCAACATGGTGAAACCCTGCTTCAACTAAAAATACAAAAATTAGCTGGACCAGGTGGGGTGCACCTGTAGTTCCAGCTACTCCAGAGGCTGAGGCAGGAGAACCACTTGAATCTAGGAGGTGGAGATTGCAGTGAGCTGAGATTGTGCCGCTGCACTCCAGCCTGGTGACAGAGCGAGATGCTAGCTTAGTAAATAAGTAAATAATAAACTTGCATTGCACTTCTTGTTTCCTGAGATGGCAACTTGGGAACGAACTCTGGAAGGTGATTGTGGAAGGACTGGGGCTACTGATTTGCCTTCTTGATGTCTAGTTCACCCTGAATCTGTTCCTCTGCACTATGACGTCCCTCCTTGCTCATTAAGAGCATCATGCAGTGAGACTGTTTCACAGCCCCTTCTTCTCCCAGAGGGGCTGCAGAAGCCTGCATCTGAGTCCTGTGGCCGAGTGAAAGAATGGCTGTGACGCGGTGCTTCCCACGGCATGCTCCAGAGCCAGAGGCTGCGGCTGGCTCCCTGCCTTACTAGCACTGACCTTGAATATGACTTTTTTTGAAAAGGAGGGGGGAGGGGGGCAAGAAAACTACTTACCTCCTTGTTTGTCATGAGGCTTCAATGAGATAATATATTTAAGGCGAAGCATGGTGTCTGACATACAGTGAATAGTCAAATATTAGCTAGCGCTTCTGTTTTCAAATGTGTGGGTTTGCATGTATCCATAGTTGATCTTATTATCATCCTGCTATTTCTAACCCTCTTTATTCCAAACTCTTTTAGCCCATTCTCTTTGTATTCCAGGCTGCATCTTATCTTTGAGGATCTAGAGCACAGTTGTGTTGTGGTAGGAGATGGGGAGGTATGTGTAATTTACTTAGAACCACAGCGGCCACGTCAGTGTGCAGTGCAGTGAATGCGTGTCTGTTTCTTTGCTGGAATTCGTGCGTCTCATTTTTCCCAGTTGGACCTTCAGGGCACTCCTGTGGCACCCCTTCTCATTGGTTCCCTGGTACTCTTGGTTCTATGGTGACTCCAGCTTCATTAACTCTGCCCCGGACCTTTGCAGGAGAGAGCCATGCTACCTTCCCTCAGCCCTACATCTTTGGCCTCTTCCTCCTTCCCACCTTCCACGCAGACTTCACACAGCCCCAGAGTCACTGGGTCACCCTAGTCTGAAGGCAACATAAGATCAGTCCTAAACTTATGATCCTCAGCATCCCCCTGCTGTGACCAAATCCTTCTCCGAGCCTTCCCAGAGTCCCCAGGGCTGACCTGCTTGCTGGCTTCCATGCTCCCTGCTCTGCCCAGCTTGCCAATGACCACAGCAGCTGCTTGGGGTCTGCCCAGACCAGCCTAGGCTGCCTTGGCTCCAGGCTCTCGCACCTACCCTCAAAAGAGTTTACCAGAACCTTCCTCTAAGAAAACAAATGGGATCCTGAAAAGTCCACGAGCTTCTCTGATACCACACGATTCCCCCAGAAAGCACAGACGTCCAGACAGAAAAAAGAGAGTGGGGCACGCGAGGAGGTGTGGTTCAGTGGAGCAGCTAGGAGGGTCCACTGTGGTCCCCTCTCCGTCCTGCCCACACCAGCCCTCCGTGTCTCTCCCGCTTCTGCTCACCTCGTAGGTTACTCACCCTGCACGCTACTTCTCACCTCGCTCCTATTTCCTACTCTCTTTGATGAACCAGCAGCACTGCCTGGTTCTGGGTCTCCCTTTCTCTCTCTT